TGTCTTCCCCAGGACATGGCTCATGCCATCAGTTCACTGCTTCTCAGGTGTCATTTTCAGGAAGAGCCTCCCTGGCCACCTGGCGATCCCTCCCCCCCCCTCCACATTCCCTCTCTGCCTCCTCCCTTCTCTGAGATACAATGCATGGGCCCCCCATCCAGCCCAACCACAGGGCTCAGGGAACAATAGTCTCTGAGAGAGAGAGCATTCTGCCCACTTTCATAGAAAGACACAGGCACATGGCTGTCCTCTGGGCCCCATTACTCACCGCTTTGCAGCTACTCTTCAGCTGACTCAACACAAAGGGCAAGAAGATACAAAGCAACCATCCACGGATGAACCTCCTCCGCGCTGAGCTGCTGTCCGACTGGAACTTCTGCGCGGGAAAAGCAGCAGCGGCCAGTCCAGTGGCCCTCTGAGCGCCCGGGTCCACTGCCATCTGCCACGCCCTCCCGGTGGACCTCACCTTCAGCACACGCCCCCTGACTTTCTCCAACTGCTGGGCAGCCTGGGTGCAGTCCAGGGCTGTGGTCAGACACTGGTCCGCCAGCTGTAGGAAGGTGGCCACGGCGTCAGCCATAAGCTGCGGGAAGAGTAACTGCTAGAACCCCGAGAATCACGCTCCGGCCGACGGAGCCCCGGGCCTGCCTGGCTGACCCTTCTCAGCGCGCAGACTGACCCGGCCAATCACTTTTCCCCAGCCTCCTTCTTGTTTCAGGAAACAGCATCCCCTTCCTCTCGGGACTGGGGCATCATCCAATCAGTGGGGATCTGTGTGTAATCTAGCAGAAAGTGCCCTCCGCTCTGGAGGATGGTGCCTGGGTGCTCGGCCTGGGGAGCGGAGAGCCGGTCAGAGTTCAGCCTCGTTGGCTGAGCGCTCTTGTGCAGCGTACAACTTGAACAACTGTACCAGGCAGCACTCGGTCTTCTCCATCCCCGTCTCCTTCACTCACCATGTCAATTAGCAGGCCCCATTCCCTTGGCCTTCAAACACACGCCACTTCTCTCCACCAACAGTGCCCATTGTGCTTCAGGCCTCCTGCCTGCCTCCTCTATTCCTGCCCCCAACAGCCTCTCTTCCCCACAGCAGGTAGGGCTTCCTAAATTTTGAATCTGGTCACGCCCCTCCCCTGCTCACACACCTGCTGTGGCTCCCCATGGCCCTCAGGACAGAGCCTGGCCCCTTAACCCCATACTCAAGTCCCTGACCCACCTGCCCCTCCACCTTGCTGGCAAATCTCCCGCCTTGCTGCCCTCACTTGGAGCCTACAGCCCAGTGTCTCTAAATGGCTTCCAAATGCAGACGAACTCCCTCACCTCCCAGTGCTGTTCCCTCTACCCAGGACGTATTCCACCCCCCATTCCTCCCACCGCTGCTTCAGTTTGAAAGTCCTCTCCTCCTGGGGGGTCCTCCTAACCCTGGAGATGAATCAAGTGTCTCTTCAGAGCTCCCATAGCACCACGGCCCTGTCCACCACGTGTGGTCACAGCCTGCTTATGGGCTGATGTCCGCATGATACCCCCCCACTCGCCCTCACCTGCTGTGCGAGATCCTGGGCCCCAAATACCAGGCTTCGTGTGCCAAAGAAGCCAAAAGGCGCCACCAGCTGCCCCAGGCGCTTCTGGCTTTGCTCAGCCTCACGGTAGCAGGCGTGCATCAGCTCTGAGTCCCATGGCATCTCCCCAAACGAGTAAACCTGTGCCCCGATGGCAGTCAGGTGACAAAAACACCATCAGTCGATGGAAAAGCCGGGCCAAGGACCTCACAGCCAATTCGTAGCAAGAGAAATGCAAATGGAAACACATCCCACCTCAGCCATTACCCCCAAAATGCGTAATAAAGACAACAGGTATGGTGTAGGACATAAAATGGTAAAACCTGAAAGAAATAGACAACACGCCGTGCTGGCACGACTGAGGGGCAACAGGCACACCAGCCCTTGTCACACCCGCACCCATCACCTGATCCCCTCTCTATCCTTGGCTCTGGGGCCACAGAAATGGAGTAACCCCATATGGTCTCTGCCCTCAAGGAGCTCACAGAAAAGTTGGGGAAGATAAACTATCGACAATCAAGTGATTATGAAACGGAGGCCTAATGAGTTGAAGTTTTCCTGGCACTTAGTAGGTGTTCATTTAATATCAGAAGAACAGGGGCGACCTGCATGGAGCAGAAGTCACTGGCTTAGGGGATGGGGGATGGGCTCTGGCAAACAGAGGAACGGGAAGAGGAGGGATTTGAGGGCAGGTGATTCCAGACGCATGTTGCTAAAATCCTCCTCTTGTCGTTTTGCTCCTCCCCCGACCGTGTTTCAAACTGTACCCCTCAACGACCAGAGCATGGTGGTCTACAATAAGAAAAAAGCACCCTAGGGCAAAGTTCGGAAACAGTTTTCAAAGGAGGCTTTCAAACAGAAAGATGAGAGGGTTCACGCAACTCTTCTGTGAGGTTAACACGCCGCACGTCCGTCGAATGAACCCCACCCCGGGAGCTCACCTCCTGGCGCAAGCGGGTGCTAGAGGGGCTCCCACGCAGGTGGCGAGACAGGCGGTCCATGCCCTGGGCTAGGAGGGTCTGCACTGTTGAGAGCACGGCTTCCACGGTGCTCAGCAGCTTTTGCGTGACCCGGGACAGCTGTGTGTCCACCCTCCCGCGCAGGCAGGACTCCAGGGGGCCCTCGACCTCCACTGGAATGGGAAGACACTAGCCCGGGTCTCCTCCGCAAGGTGCTCCGCAAAGGGGGCGCAGGCGGCCCGGGGCTCAGCACGAGGAGGACAGGGGCTCAGACTCTGAGCGCCCTCTTCTACCATTTTACAGGTGAGAAAACTGAGGCTTTGCGTGCGGCAGCAATGAGCTCAAAGCCGTACGCCCGAGAGACCAGAGTCTGGATTCCAAGCCGGTTGTCTTTGTCACTGAGCAGAGTGGGAGCCTCCGCCGTCTGACCGGGACAACCCGGGTCAGGTCTGCCACTACCTGTGCCTCCACCCCTCTCCCGACTGGATGTCATTAGCCCCATCCCTAGCCCGCCGCCTTTCCGCGGCCGCGACCTCGCTCTTGACCCCGCCCTGGTCTGGCATCCTCCAGCCTTGGCCCAAGGCCACGCCCATACTCCAACTTCTACCCCGCCCCTCATGCCCCGCCCTTTCTTTGTCCTGCCCTGTCCCGCTGGGTCTTGGGTCCGGATCCTCGGCCCCACCCCTTACGCCCACCCAGTTCCCCGCCTACCAGTCAGGCCCCTGGCCCCGCCCCTCCCGGCCGAGGCCCCGCCCCTCCCGGCCGAGGCCCCGCCCCCAGGCCTCACCCCGCAGCCTCCGCGCCACGCGCGCCCGCAGCTGCAGAATCTGGTCCACGTCCGGGCGGATGGTCTTCTCCAGGGCCGCCAGCAGTTCGTCCTTTTCCGGCTGGAAGGCGCGGAGCCCGGCGGAGGCCCCGGCCAGGACGGCAGCGTGGACTGCGTCTAGGAGCTGTCCGGACCGGCCAAGGGGACCCCACACGGGCCAGAGGCGCGACAGCGAGCCGAGATGGGGCGGGATGGGGGAAGAGAGACACAGAGACGGAGAGCCAGAGAGACGCGCAGAGAGTTTAGGGGACAGTCGCGGGGAGGGGGAAGACGGGCCCCAGGGTCCGGCCCCTATCCCCCTGTGCGGCCACCCGCGTGTACCTCGGTCCAGGCCCAGGCACGGTTGCGGCTGGCCCCCCGCAGGCCGGGCAGGGTCTGGGCTCGCAGCGCCGGCAGCAGCTCCCGCATCAGCACCCCGGTCAGCACCTGCGGGAGAGGGGGCCTTAGGCGCCCGCGGCGGGCCTAGAGGGGTCCCGGGGGCGGCTTCGCACCGCACTGACCTCGGCATCCGAGCCCAGGGTCACGTCGTCCTCGCCAAAGTGGCCTCGGCGCTGCCGATAGAGTCTTAAGGCGTCCAGGAAGGCACGGGCTGCGGGGGCCTGACTGCGCTGCAAGACTGAGGGGGCAGTTCCTGAGTGCCAGCCCACTTCTCCCCTGCTCTCACCTCTGCCCGGCTCCCTCTCACCCGGGCAGGAAGCCCTCCACCTCCTCACCAGGTCCCCAGACACCTAAATCTCACCCATCTCCAGACGCTTGCACAAGCAGGGCCCTCTGCAGGGAACATGGTGCCCCAGGACCATCACCGGCCCATAAGGCACCTGGATACTCCGATTTAGGAAAAAGCATCCCCTGTGGGCAGTCACAGGCCAGGCTGCGCGGCCCCTCCCGATAGGCACATCTGTGCGCTCAACAGCCTGCTCAACATGCATGTTGGTCCTGTTCCCCTTCTTCCCCTGGCTGGCCCCAGCTTCAACACACCCTCCTCTGAGCAGCCCTCCCTGATCTCCCAGGCCGAGCTCCCACAGGGCCGCGTCCCCATCACAGCCTGTTGTCACGTCTGTCTCCCCCCAGAATCCATTTCATAAACAAACTGGAAACTTGGGAGAGGACCCCACAGCCAGCAGGGGCGGAGCTATCTCGCCTCGGACCCCAGGACACGCAGCTGCCTGACCTTTCCCGGGACCCACCTGTCCCACGGAGCCGGATGCCACCCTGGAGGGCCAGCCTCCAAGCCCGCCGCGCTTCCCCCGTGGCCGCGGAGAAACAGAGGTGCCGGCGGAAGGGGTGCTGCAGGAACAGGGGGAAGTTCACGGGCATTTCCAGGAGGGGTTCGGGCTCTTCCTGGGTATGCTCTCCTGGAAGCAGACGGAGGAGGCTGGGTCATCCTTCACTCACTCGCTCTACAATCAATCGTTCATTCGCTGGAAGAAAACACCCATGAAAATACCCACCCCACCCCACCCCCACCCCCCACCCCCGCCGCCCACACGGGCAGTTGCTAACATAGTTGCACTATCCTTATTCGGGCTCGGTCCCAGGGGGAGGTGCGCCCAGGGGAGACATCAGCGAGCCATCCCAGCGTTGTTTCTGAACCTCAGCATCCTCCTCAACACGGAGGCCTGGACAGCCACCACCCGTCTGTCTGAGTTGGCACGTCGTCATCTGAGCCCTGCTTGCCCTGGGAGTCAGCCAGGGCCAGATTCAAACCCGGCCAAGTCCCTTGCTAGCTCTATGTGTAGGGCACGCTTTTCCTACCTGGACCTCGGTTTCCTTGCCTATAAAATGGGCCTAAAGGTGATATCGATGACCCGTTGGGAGAACTGTGCGGGAGCCAGGGTGAGTGAATTTTGGGGGGAGGGGGTTAATTTATTGCAGGGGGGGGCC